CTATCCATTATATTTAGGTATATGGACTCTTAATTTAATTTCTTATTATACTGATTCGCTTTTCAATAATAGAAGTTTCTTTCTTATCTATCTTAATTTACATTAATGATATAATTAGAATTTATTTATAACCCATAGGCCATATATAAAGATACATTAAAATTTTGGTTTAATGGACGTAACATTTTATTTCAAAAAATTATGAGAAAAAAAATGATACCTGATATTATAAAAAAAAATACATTAAATATAGATAGCTTATTTTCTAGTATCCATTACCAGGGATAATCTGATCTGACTCGAGACTTAATTACAGTTAAGGCTTTTCGGCGCTCCCTGCAGGTGTGTTTAGTGGGATTGAATCCCAAGAGCTCTTTTCACATGCCCAACTAGGTTTTTTTTTTTTTTTTTTTAAATTACCTTTTAATTTTTATATTATGAATGGAAATTTGAAAACCTTGGGTGAAAATACGATTATGATATACATCCAATAAATTTTTTAATATTTATATAGATAGGCAAAAATATGATAGGCAAAAATATAGAATCATCTCCAGATGCGAAAGCCTTTCTCCTAATATGCATACTGTTGGCTACCATTTTCTTTTTCCTTACTTTCACTGCGGTTGGTCAAATAGATAAGAACTAGCTAACTAGCTACCCACTTTGTATTTCCACAATCTAAAATATTAGTATTATCAGAATCTTATGATTCATTATATGAATCTTACGATTCGATTCAATTTTCATGCTAAACAATTTGAATCTTATGATTCGAGTCGATTCTCATATCTAATGATTCACTTACGGTCTTACCTAACAAATTCAGTAAAAAAATCAATATAAGTCAATATAGAGAAATCGAAAACGAAGCAGGAGAATTTAGTTATATTAAAAGGTGAACATAATGAGGAGGGCTTGAATTTGGAAATGATAATGAATATTATGGATTTGGATAGGAAATTTTAATGGCTTTATAGTTTTACTTTGTTTTATGTTAAAATTTTGAACTTGATAGTTTGATATTTTAAACTTACATGACGCAAGTCATTAAATTCTTTTCATTTTGTATTTGGTAAATAATTTAGAATTGAAATTTATATAAATACATTAATTATTTACACTTAATTTTTAGTATCATATGGTAGAATTAATACTGAATCTTACGATTCGATTCTCGATCCTTGATTCTAAAAATAAAGATTTCAAATAAATTTCCACCACATAATATTTTGATTTGTCCGACAGTCTACTAGTGAATCTCTGGCTATGTCTTGCATTGACTTGGAGTCAATTTCGTAAGTCTATTTTCCCGGCTTTGCTATAATTATTAATTTATTAATTTATTATAATAGCCATACAAGTACTTGAAAAATGTAGGATCATCTCCAACATGAAGGCGGCCTTTATCCTAGAGAATTAGCTGCTATCGAGAAAGGTAAGAACTAGCTATCTCTTAAAAATGTTTCCTGGAATAATCTTTTATTGTTATTATTATTATTATTATTATAGACCCAAACTGAACTTAAATATGCAAAAGTTTACAAAGGTTCAAGCCAGACAAGTTTATAATTTTTTTTCATAAATTGGAGTAAAAAACGCGTTTATCTTGTAATAGTGCACTTAAATTTACAAAAAAATATATGCGATGGAGAGTTTAAATTCTCATTTTAATAATTTTTGTCATTCAGCTTTTTCGCTTCGTTCAAATTTGAAAGTGATTATTCTGCAATTAATCTTTGGACAGACACTAAATTTTCTAATGATTTTCTAGATGATTATTCAGTAACCTTTTTTTTTTTTTTTCAATTAATGCCTTATCAAGAAAATTAAGAATGATTTATCAAGAAAATTAAGAATGATTACTGTTCATGTAGCCATAAATAACGCAATAAACTAGACATCAAAGAGCGCAAAAAGTTTAAACCATACCCTAAAAAATGAAGGCTTTTATCATAATATGCATTATCTTGGCAACTGCTCTCTTCTCTCCCTTTCTCATCACAGCAAGAGAATTAACAGAGGATGGTAAGCTTTGAATTTGTGACTGTAATAATATTTTTAACATCACATAGCTTATGCTAACACGTATGTATGGATGTGATTTTTTTTGCAGGAAAAGGCAATGTTACCCTTCCATTTCCAAAACCCAAAGGCAAGCCAATTGAATGCAGTGGCAAATATTGCTTCCCTTTAAAGCCCCCACGCATTGAAAAGCCTCATTGAAAAGCCTTGCACTAAGCCTCTGCCCCAATGCAATTAATTATCTATCTATCTATCTATATATATGTGAAATAAATATGTATTTCTCAATAAATTGTTCAGAGGATATCTTTGAACCTAAGCCAAGTCTAATAGAGGATTTCTTTGGCTTTGCAAAATCCTTATTACATGCAATCCCATCTTACAATAGTATATAATAACTCTTAATTCAAGTTTTCGGAGTAAATATTGTTAAATACCAATTAATATTAAAATTCACAAATCTTATTGCAGGCATTTGGAGTTATTTTTTATTTAAAAGAAAATATAGAAATTTCGTTAAGAATAAGAATAAATCAATCTGAAAAATATAACCAGTAGAGGATGAAACTTCCTCTATCCAAAAGAGCTCTTTATGAATAGAAGAGAGAACTTCTTTAATTAAAGCACGCGAGAGCTCTTTACCAACTCGACAGTGAATCCTCAAAGGATTAATAATCTATTTCCAATCTCAGAATGAGGGATTTCATATTTCTGTAGCAAGTTAATCAAAGAAAATATTGCATGCCATTAACAGTTTTTACTTTTTATTTATTTATTTCCCCTTAACATATTTATTTATTTCTTCTTTAATTAGTTTTTGTCCACGGTCTAGTCTATGGATAACGTGGTAGGTACAATCTACATAAGAATTATTGCCGCCTTGTAACCATATATTTCTTCAAATGTATACTACTTTTTGATTAAAATTTGTTTATATTTGGTATATGACTCTAAATTAATTGAAAAAAAAATTAATATAATGGTGCAGCCAAAAAATATAATTTGTAATTTTACCTCTATTTCAAATAGAGACAACTGTCCAGTCTTTTATTTATATATAGATATTATAAAAATAAAAATATTAAATGTATATTTGAAATAAGTGATTTTGTTAAATGATATTTATTAAGGTTATTTTTCATTTATAGTTGCATGTATATAGTTTTTGATAGGATTTTATATTTTTGCTTCCTCATATAAGTTGAATGAAAAGATATATCCAATTCTAAACTCTTATCCATAATTTTTTTATCATTAATTAGAAGTCATAAATGTGTCTTTAAAATTAATTACATTCAGTTTCATTAATAATCCCAAATATTAATTAATTATAAATAATTTAAATACATTTAATTGTAAAAATGTAGTTAAATTTCAATTTTGTAATAATTTTATAATTTCCATACTAGCAATAATAATTTTTAAGATTTTTAATTTTTATATGTAAAATATAGATTTGATATGTGATTAATATAGTTTTTAAAATGATAATTTTAATATCTTCAACTAATAAACAAGTGTTTTATCAATTTAATTTTACAAGTTGAACTGATCAATGGACCAAAATAGAAAGTAAAGATACTATAAAATTTTTCATAAAAAGTATATAAATAAATTTATATACTGTGCCGTTTTCAAAATGAAATTAAATTTATATTTCATATTGCGATGATGATTTCATACACACACATATAATTTCTACAACAAAGTAAAAATTTCTTTAATTTCTTTATATAAAATTTTTCATTTGGTTTTAATGTTGTGACTTCCTAAAAAATTTATGAAATTTAATTATTAAATTTCATATATGTTATAATTATTTATGTTTATATAATGATGCCTGGTCGATATGCTAAGGTGATAACCTATTTAACTTGTAATTTTTATTTTTCACACATCAGATTATTGATAGATTTGCGATGTGATTTAATAATATATTTAGAATTGTTCATATCTTATAACAAAAATATTTGATAGCAAAAAAAATTTATATTGATAATAAAGAATTGAATTATAATCCATTCAAAAAAAAAAAAAAAGCAAAAAAAAAATTTATATTGATAGATAAAGAAATTGAATTCTATAATCCATTCAAAAAAAAAAATAAAAAGGAATGAATACCATGGACTAATTGGACATACAAAGGAGAAACATATAATAATTTAGGAAAATTTTTAATGAAAAAATCTTTTTTTTTTTAATTCTAATGCCAAATTGAAAATTATCTTAAATAATATCTTCAATTTGTATCAAATACTAAATTTTTTAGAAGTCATATTAAAATTTCTGATCATATTTGACCGTTAGAAATAATGCAAGTGATTACTACCCTTTCCAACCAAAAACTATGTTGAGAGGATGGAAACATGGTGTGAAAATATTTTTTTTTTTTTTTGAAAGAAGAAAATGCCACATTTTATTAAATATCATGGGGAAAGGAGAACAATCAGGGACACTACGCCCAAATTACACAAGTAGGTAAAAAAGCGAAGATGCTCTAGCAAGGGCAAATGAGCAGCACCATTTACATAGTACAGCCGAATCCAATCTAAATCTGGAATATCCAGGCCTATCAACTAAGAGTTACTTACAATTCCTTTCACAAACCCCAAATTACCGAAAGATCATAAGATTTAAGAATTCAAAGCACAAAATAAAACCTGGCAATCAACAAAAATATAAACCACTAGACTATAATGAACATTACCAATAAAAGTAGAGCAGACTTTGAAATAGTGAAGCATCACAAAATGCATGCCAACCAACATTATTCAAGTTGACACATGGCCGCACCACCTGTTACATCTTCTCTTTGAAATATTATTCAAGTTGACACATGGTCGCACCACCTGTTACATCTTCTCTTTGAAATAGTGAAGCATCACAAAATGCATGCCAGCCAACATTATTCAAGTTGACACATGGCCTCACACTTGGCCCATTTCCATGGAAAAGTCTTTGTCCTATAGCTACATTTAAATTATCAAAAGAATGCCATTCCATACAATGGGTAGAAACCATACAGGCAATCTGGGTTGGTTGCACCAATTTTGCCGACCAGCAAAAAGTATTTCTTGCCTTCCATAAATGCCAAGCCAGAAAAGCCAATAGTTCGGCTTTTTATTGTCCAAGGCCATCCCAACACTTTGTCCAAGGCCATCCCAACACTGCATGAATAAATCAATAAAAGTTGCAGTCACACTGGGAATATTAAAACCAAGCAAACTCCAACAAGTATTTGCCCGAACACAATGACATAACACATGGTCACCATCTTCTCTTGAAGGACAGAAAAAACAAAGATCATTAACTGCTATACCACGTTTTAGAAGGTTAGATTTTGTAGGGAGGACATCTCTACAAGCCCGCCACAAAAAATCCCTTATTTTAGGATTAAGGCTCCAAATACGTGTCCATAACCGTGGATTCCCAACATTCTGGCTATCTCGTACCAGACCCATACTAACATGATATCCAGATTTAACCGTATACACTCCACGCTTCTCATAATGCCATAAAACCACATCCTCCACCATATGAATAAATAAAGGTATAGACAAAATAGCCTTCACATCTCTAGCAGAAAATGAAGTCATCAACTTGCCTACATCCCACCTTTTCTCACCATCCACAAAAAAATCACAAACTCTAGTCACAGGATTAATGAATCGAGTCCCATCCTCCGCAAGAAAAGAGTCAGTCTTAGGGATCCAAGAATCGAGTCCCATCCTCCGCAAGAAAAGAGTCAGTCTTAGGGATCCAAGGATCCGAAGAATATATTTAATAGGCATTACAATCAATATATATTTTATCCTTTTGATGTACCAAGTCTATATTACAAACCACATGCACTTTCAACCTATTTTCTTTTCTCCTATTTTTTATCCTCTCTAAAAAGAACATAAATATCTTTAGCATTTCTTGCTCTATTATTGATAATATGTGGATGGAATTATGTTCGTACTGTTCAAATATCAAGAGAATATATATATTACCAACAAACCGCTAAATAAGTCAAAATTTTTTTAAATACAATTATAAACCTAATTTTGAAATACGCAGATCAACCTGTCAGTTCCACGTGAACCTGCTTAATACGCAGATGATTAACATAAATATGAACACAACTCATTTAGTAATCATATTAAATATTTAAACATGAATACGACATGAAAATTAAAACAATGATACAAATAGTCTACATGTAATTTATTTAATTAAATGGATCGTATATGAAAAAAAAATATCCAACTACTAGTTAATTAAATGGATTTTATACTGCTGAAAGAATTTATATATACAACACGTATAATCCGCTTAAGAAATTATCACTTTAATTTTAATTAAACGAGTTAGACGAATTATACGAGTCAACATTTGAAACACAATATTTATCGTATTATACACAAATCAGTCATTAATGACATAAATTCATTTAGACTCAACTTAATCCGCTTAAGTTCTCTATTAGATGAATTGTGTTCTCTTGATATGACCATGTTAACACCCTAGAAACACATAGCGTGTAAATAAGGAAATATATATTACACATGTGCCATAATGTGATAACGAAATCAAATAATTCAGTGATGCATTTTTCTTTTCTAGTGGAAATTCAGTGATGCATGGTTTTGGAATTATGTGTGGAATTATGTGGCATATTGTATGTTCTAGCTATAAATGTAAATAAGGAAATATATATAACACATGTGCCATAATGTGATAACGAAATCAAATAATTCAGTGATGCATTTTTCTTTTCTAGTGGAAATTCAGTGATGCATGGTTTTGGAATTATGTGGCATATTGTATGTTCTAGATATAAATCTTTATCATTTAATTATTATTATTGTCATCTTCATTTTGTGGATGCGACATGCAATTCAAATTTGACGACTTCTGAAAATTGACACGCATGGCTGCCATTATTGCTGCTATTATTATTTTTAATTACAATTCTCGGTAAATTACCCCATATATATATTATATATATATATATATACTATATATAATTATATATTTAAAATTTAACTGAAATTAAAAAATTTAACTGAAATTAAAAAAAAATTTAGATTTTTAGCAGTGTTTCTCTATCTCTCTCTTTTTTGTGTTTTCTAACCAACAATCCATCTTTTCGTTTCTATCTATCGTTTTTTTTTTTTAATTTAGTTTTCTTTCTAATAATTTCCAAAAGTTAGAATTTAATCTCTCAGATGTATGATAGTTAATAGATCTTGAGTGTTTTTAGTATCCTCTTAATGGGGTTATTAATTTCTTTTCTTTCATGTGGTTGTTTTTCATTATTAAAGAATTTTTTTGTATATCTTTTATTTTTCTGATAGTTCGAAATACAAGATAGATTGTTAGTTGCTTATAGTTGAAAACTTCGTATCTTCAAGTCAGCTAAGTTTTTTTTATCTTATTATTGAAGTCTGATAGTGCGACATGTTCTTCCATTAAAATTTGGTATATTAAACTCTTCTATGGGTGGTTCGTCCGGGGGAGAGATCGAGCTTCAAAAAATAGTGAATGGCCTTATCAATACACAAATGTTGAAAAGTTATAATAAATTTTCAAAAAAAAAAAAAAAAAAAAAAAAAAAAAAAACAAATGTTGGGATAATTATTGTGAAGGTTTCTTTTGTTGTATATTTGAAAGTGGAATAATTTTTATCCGGAAGAATTTAATTCTTTTCTACCAAAATGAAAAGGGAACATCTTCAAACATAAGATTCATATTGTATTTCTTATTATGAATGAACTTTACTTATATTCATTATTAATGGAATTGTTAAGTTAAAAAAAAAAAAGAAAAAAAAAGTAATGAATTGTTAAGTTAAAAAAAAAAAAAGAAAAAAGAAGTAAAAGCCAATTTGGTCCCAAACTTATTTAGTAGGACAAAAAATGTCAGATTTGACCTTTGAGCCAATTTAACCCTTTAACTTATATAAAATGATTAAAAAGATCCGATTTCACATTTTAGGATAATTTAACTCTTGAACTTGTTTTGATTTTTATAAATTTTTAATTGATTTAATTTACATAATTGACTTTTTATCCATTTTTATCTTACACTAAAAACACCAAGATCAAAATTTTCTAATACTTAAGAATATAAATTTAAAATCCATAAAACAACATTACTTATAATATAATAAATTTATAAATATGCATTATAACTTTAACTTATTCAACACGAAAAAATTAATAGATTTCATAAGCCATAACTCAACAATAGAGATTAATTTTAAATGTTCAAATTAAACATATTTATAAACTCAAAATTATCGATCAAGGTAAAGAGAGATACAATATACTTCATATATCATTTTTTATATTTTATAATTAATTAATTTTTTTACAAAACCCAATTACAGTTTTACTAAATGTCTATACAATAATTTTCACATGTAAGTACAATGAAGAATTAGAGGTTAAATTTACTCAAAATATCAAATATGAACTTTTTTTAATTATTTTAAATAAATTTATCGGTTAAATTGATCTAAAACATTAAATTTAATTTTTTAAATTATTTTAAACAATTCCAAGGGCTAAATTGATCTAAGAGGTCAAATCTAACATTTTTTATCCTGGTAAACAAGTTCAGATAAATTATCCTTTATTCTTAAAAATAAAAAAAAAAAAGGATAAAAGTTCAGATTCAAATTGATTTGAAAATGTCATTTCTAAACCAAATGAATGAACGGTTTCAAGTTTCAGCGTAAAGATCTAATTTAGCATTGAAATCACTCCCAAATTATTTAAATTATAAAACTATTTTAAAATTAATTATAATTATGTTTGCTGTTCAGTATTAAATAATTTTATGACAAACTTTAATTTATCATTTAAGTGAATTAATTTAAATTTTAAATGATATGTAAATACTGACAATCTAAATTAAAAGTGAAAGTAATTGACATTTTTAATTTCAAGTGCAAAATCATATCATGAAGTATCACAGTTTAAGTTCAAGCATATCATATGAATATGTGAATCTAAATTCTTTACTTCTATATACTCACTAAATTTTCTTTACTTTCTATATGGCTCACCAGCCTGCCACTCAATAATTTATGTAAGGAAATATTATATAGTCGGTATTTGTTTCTTTTCAATATATATATATATTATATATATATATATATATAGTTGGTGTTTGAACTTTGCCCTTTTTAGTGTCTAAAATTTTATCTTTATTGGTTAAAGTGTCTGCATATATAAATAATTTTTTCAATTAAGTACATTTGATTAATTTTTTTTTATTGAAAAATTTAAATAGATAATTCTTTTCCACATAAATATTTATTTTTTTATTTTATTGTCTTATAGCTCTTTTTTTAAAAAAGAAAGACAAAATTTTTTTATACTAATTTGATCTCAAAGTAAAATAAAAAGAGAGAGACAAAATTTTTTATACTATTTTAGATTGGTTGGCTTCTCATGCTTTGTTTCTTTTTTTATACTATTTTAGATTGGTTGGCTTCTCATGCTTTCTCTCTTGGCCTTGGTGTCCATCCTCTTGATTATCCTCCTGCTGATATTTTTTCTTTGATTGTTAATGGTTGTTGATGTCTTGCTTCTAGGCATTCTATCGCCTCTTGGAGCTCCCTTTAGTCCGCAAAAAAAAGAGAGAGACAAAAATGATAATATAAAAAAATATATAGTGAAAAATAAAGAAATAATTCTTTTCAATTTTCCGACTAAATACATCTAATTGGCAATTGCTTTCAAAGAAAAATGGCAATAATAAAAAAGATTTTAGGAGTTGGGACAAATTCAACATGCATTTATGAAATGGTAGGCCTTTCTGCCATTAAGTCTAACAATAGTTTTTATTATATCACATTTGAAATTTCATGTTTCTTTAGAAAATCATTGAATTTATCTAAGTTACAAAAATTATTGAGTAAATTGACTATATTATCCATAATTTAATACTAATTCTTTAAGAAAACCATTAAATTGAAATAATAATTATGGGTCATATACAAATAGTAAACCTAGAAACATTTATTACTCCTTGAAACCACAAATGTAATATGTATCTTAGAATAAGCTATTTTTTCAATTGTGACAAGTATTATGAAATAGATGTAGTATTTTTTTCCATTTAGATAACACTTTTAAAAAATTAAAACAGTATTAATTATTTTATTTCTACTTTACTATTTCCTCTATTGGGTGATTATTTTATCCTAAAATATAAGGGTGATTATTTTATCCTAAAATATAAGTTTTTTTAGTATTTTAAGGAGCAATAAATAATGTTTTTCCAATTTTACATTTATGTTGATTAGTATTAATGATAATTTGGTCAAATTACCTTTAGTTTTGTTATACTCTAAGAGAATTAATTGTTTCATTCATCCTTGTGCAAAAACCTTGAACGAGAGGGAGTATTATTTAAATATTTTCTCCTAATTTTTTTTTATATCGAGACATTGTTTAGCCCTTGGCATTGACTAAGGGAGAGATGTAGTTCCTGCTTTCTACCTCAGGTCTATGCAAATGCCTCTTCCATATAGATCGGAAAATTTTTTAATCCATATGAGGCTATGATCTATAAGCATTGCAGGCCTAAGTCCAAGCAGAGTTGATTAACTGTTTGGATGCCCCAAGAATCGAACCCTAATTTTATCTTTAAATTATAAAACATTATTTAAAAGGTAATTTATTATCCTTATTTCATTTTCTTAATTTTCATGAAAATGAAGTAAATGTCAAAATTAATCGTAGGGAATTTAATATCATTTATTTATTACTATAAATAAGAGTGAGTAGAGAAGAAGGAAAATGCAAAGTGGCAAAAGAATTCAATCATCTCTCAAAATGAAGTCCCTTGTCGCAATTATATGCATCATTTTCTTTGCAATGTTTCTTCTTCTCTTCCTCTTTAACCACAGCTCGAGAATTAAACACAGACAACTGCAGGTAATACACACACACTATTCTTACTGATAATAGTAATATAATTTCCATTTGCTTAATTATGTTTCCTAAATTTAAGAATTATCCTTAATTAAAATTCTTTGTTAATCTCAATCATGAAAATGCTGCTACCTTAATGACTTACAACTTCTTCAAACTAAAAAAAAAAAAAACCCCTTTGACAATTAGGTACTTTTGTAATATGAATTACCAACAAGTTTTGATTTAACGATATTGAAGTCTAGGGTTTTGAGTTCTCTGAGTCCAAAAATTTCAGTTGAACTAAAATTTATGTCCGTGGATTATCTAATTTCGTTATAAATAGATTTATTGTTAACTTGACGGAAAAATAAATTTAACGTGTTATTTATATACATGTGAACGTTTTAGGTGAAGTAAGAAGTGATGGCATAATCCCAGATGGGTACAAGCCTCGACCAAAGAAAGGGTATCCATACAAACCTTATCCAAAGAAAGGGTATCCATACAAACCTTATCCACGGAAGAAAAAGCCACCACCCAAGAAGAAGAAGCCACCGACGTAAAAGCCTTGTTATCAATACAAGTCCCATGCTCAAGTAGTTCTTGAAAATGGATTTCTGTACGTTGTTGGACAATAAATGTTTCTCGATTGACACTTTTCTTGAGAACTTTAATTTCTGCTTAATTGCACTTTCTTAGTACTTATGTGTTGTTTGTACTTTGATTATAAACAAAAAATTACTATTAATGCAATAAAATTAGGGCCCTATCCATATATCATTTTTAGTATATGGGATTATTAATTGATTTTCTCATTATATTAATTCCATTTTCCAATAATGAAAGTTCCTTTTCTTTATCTTTTTAAAGAAATGAAGTGTTTGTGTTAATTCTGGTGGTTGGCTAGTGAATCTTTGAAACAGAGTTGTCTGCTGGCCCTGGATATTATTGGTCGTGTTGAATAAATATGGTAGCAATACTGGAGGAAAACTGACAATGGAATGCCTAAATGGTTGTGGACCATAACACTGTGGCATGAATGACAGAAAAGGGAGTTTTTGAAGGTTGGTCAATTGGTAGCTGACGTTTTGAAGTTTCATCCGACTTGCAGACATCCTTCAAAAGATAATTGTTGCAAATTCAAATCCTTTCTCTTCAAATAATATCATTGAATTAGGATTTTTTTTTTTTTTAAAAAGATCTTTTAACTTTTTTATTATTTGTATGAAATTTGAAAAATACACATATGATATACTCATATGATATACATCCAATAAATGTTATTTAATATTTATATAGACTAGCAAAAATATAGAATCATCTCCAGCACGAAGGTCTTTCTCCTAATATGCATACTCTTGGCCACCATTTTCTTTTCCCCTTCTTTCTACGGCTAGGGAATTAGCTTGCTAAGATGGATAAGAACCAGCTAACTAGCTAGCTACTTTGTATTTCCACAATTTAAAATATTATTGTTACCGGATTCTTATGATTTATGATGTGAATCTTACGATTCGATTCAATTTTCATGTTAAACAATTCGAATCTTATGGGTGAATCAGTATTGATCACAAATCTTACAATTCAAGTCGATTCTCATATCCGATAATTTTCTTACCAAACAAATCTATCGGAAAAGTCAATACCAAACAAATCTAACGAAAAAGTCAATACAAGTCAATATAGAGGAAAGAAGCAAGAGAATATAAGTATATTAGAAGAAAAAGATAAAGAAGGGCTTGAATTTGGAAATGATAATGAATAAACATGGATTTGGATAAGAAATTTTAATGGCTTTATATTTTTACTTTGTTTTATATTAAAATTTTTAACTTGATAGTTGGATTTGGATAAGTCATTAAGTTCTTTTCATTTTGTATTTAGTAAATGATTTAGAATTGAAATTTATATAAATACATTATTTGCACTTAATTTTTTGCATCATGTGACAGAATTAATGGAAATAAAAATTTCGATTTTCAATTTGATAACTATAGCGTTTAATTATGTTTTTTTAAAGTGAAAAATAGTGTTTTTTTTTTTTTTTTTTGCTCAACATTTATTCAACTCCTAAAATGGTTTTAGAAGAATCTTTTTTTTACCCAATTATTAAGCTATTTTTGAGCCTAGACTAAATTTAAGAATGCAAAACATGCATTCTAGAAAAATAAATAAAGTGAAAAAAATAGAGTAAAATATTGTTCATTTTGAATTTCCGACAAAAGGTTCATCTAATAAATTTTATCTAATAAATTTTATTGAAATCTAATAAATTTTATTGAATGATAATCTAAAATAAGATGTTAGATTCAAATTTCATCGATATAGATTTTTTTTTCATTTATTTAGGTATATTATAATTTTTTTTTTCTGATATGAGACAAAAAATATAATTCTCTCAATAATTGGTTCAATTGACAAGTCAACCTTGGTCACCTTTCTTTTTTTAGTAATATAGAGAGATCAAATCTTGAAAATAAAATTTACTCTACTAACACCAACTACTAGTTGATCAGTAGGATGAGTTGTTGGATCCCCTAAACAATGTCCAAAATTCGAACTGGTACTGTTAATATAGAACACTGGATTGGAAAGGTCACCTCCATAATAAACTTATGCAGAACCTAAAATATAAGTCATTTTTGGATGATTATTTTGTACCAATTATTATATTTTGAGACAAATGGAATAATTTATTAATTTATTATAACAGCTATACAATTGCTTGGAAAAATCTATCCATGGATTTACTGTGGAGTCACGTTGTAATTGATCAAAGTCTTTGGCTTTATATATTTTTTAACAATATGTTGCAAATAATTGTGTATTTATGTGTTGGAAAAGTTTGTATATTGATTAAAGTTCTTGGCTTTATATTATTTTTTAACATATAGTTGCAAATAATGTATTTTATTACAATTCAAATTGCTTGCTGATTTTCACTATAAATAAGGAGTACTTTGGAAGAAAACACGTAATTTGCAAACAAAAAAATATAGAATCATCTCCAACATGAAAGAAGGCCTTTCTCCTTGATTTGCATTTTTTGCGCCTACCATTTTCCTTTTCCCACTTCCTCCACTTCAGCTAGGAATTTAAGCTGCTATTAGCTGCTATTGGGAAAGGTAAGAACTAACTACCTAGCCAGCACTTTCTTTCAATAAATTTTTCGTCTCAGTAAGCAAATTCAAATATAAAATTTTATTATAACGTCTCTTACGCTTTACTCTTAAAATGTTTTTTTTAATAATATTTTTATTATTATTAAACCTGTTTACAGGCTAAGACTGAAGTAATAAACGTGTTTTTTTATAATAGTGCTGTTAAATTTATAATAAATATATGCAATGGAGAGTCGAAATTCTCCTTTTTTATAATTTCTGATGTATCTACCGACATGAATTAATATCAGATGCAAGAATACCAATTCCAAAAGGGTGGCCGCGGCCAGGTAAGCCAACACCCCTACCATTTCGATGCAGCCCTGGGAAGAAAAATTGTCTGCCTAAATTCCCTCCCAAAAGAAGAATGCATGCCCCACCTCCCCCACGTTGAGGCCCTTACATAAAGAAGGGTTGTGATTCTCATATTACGAACCCTTGAAAATATATATATATTATATATATATATTATATATATTGAGAAGTCATCTTCATTTTATACATAATAATAAATAAATAAAAATAAGTGTTATGACCAATCAAATATGGTTTGGTTCACTTATACGAGGAGCGAGAAGTTTCAAGTTTTGAGTCATTTTGACTACAAGTGTTTTTATTAATTTAATGAGTCAATGAGAGGGTTACCCCTATTGTGTAGCCCGCAGTATTATTTTAGTCTATTGTCAAGTATATGTCAAGACTTATATATGTATACAGATGTTATTTTAGAACATTGCCTTTTCTTATATGAAGTTTTATTTATTTATTTACCTTGTGTTGCATGTCGTTTACATATTTATAATTTTACCTTCACATATATAATTTGTTATCATATGATCAACCGTTTATATTATTACATTGCCTCTTCTTATATGAAGTTTTTTATTTATTTACTTTGTGTTGCATGTCGTTTACATACTTATAATTTTACCTTCACATATATAATTTGTTATCATATGATCAACCGTTTGTATTATTAAACTCTCTCACAGTATAATCATATTTTAAATTGATTGGATAATTGGATAATTCAAATTGAGGTGAGAATTAATGGTTTAAATTGAAAAATCAAATTGTTTTTTGATTTGCGCAATCATTCTTAAACCTTGAACGAAATAATAATACTCAAAAGACAGTTAATATTTTTTTAATTTTTAATAAATCAAAGGTATAAAGAAAAAATTAAAAAAAAAATTCTTAAGGAGTGAAAATATTAAAATGACTATTAATCCCTTCCAATTTTTGGATATCTAATACAATGAATTTTGTTCTTGGTGGATAGGTAAAATATTTTCTTTTGTTTAATTTAACAAAAAAAAAAAAAACAAAAAAAAAAAAGTATTCATTGTTTCTCGGCAAAACTATACTCTGGATACAAATAACGGTTAAAAAATAATACATAAAAAATACTGCAAAGATAATTATATATGAGATGTTATTAGTGTAAAAATTTTCAATTGAAAATACAATTATATATGCATTGCTCTTAAATTTAAGATTAGCCTTAATTCTAAAAAAAAAAAACAAAAAAAAGATATAAAGTTTTAGATTCAATTGAATTGAAAATGTCATTTCTAAAACCAAATGAATAATACCGTTTCAGGTTTCAGCGTAAAGAATCTAATTTTAGCATTGGAAATCATCCCAATCATTAATTATAAAACTATTAAATTATTTAAATTATAAAACTATTTTAAAATTAATCATAATTATGTTTGCTGTTCAGTATTAAATAATTTTATGACAAACTTTAATTTATCATTTAAGTGAATTAATTTAAATTTTAAATGATATGTAAATACTAACAATCTAAATTAAAATTAAAAATAATTGACATTTTTAATTTCAAGTTCAAAATCATATCATGAAGAATCACAATTTAAGTTCAAGCATATCATATGAATATGTGAATCTAAAGTCTTTACTTCTATATACTCAGCAGCTGCACTCAATAATTTATGTAAGGAAATGATTATATAGTTGGTATTTGTTCTTTCAATATATATATTTTAGTGTCTAAAATTTTATCTTTTTAGTTAAAGTGTCTGCATATATAAATAATATTTTCAATTACGTACGTTTGATTAAATTTTTTTTATTGAAAAATTTAAATAGATAATTCTTTGCCACATAAATATTTATTTTTATATTTTTATTATTTTTTAATTTTATTGTCTTATAGCGCTTTTTTTAAAAAAGAAAGACAAAATTTTTTTATGCTAATTTGATCTCAAAGTAAAAATAAAAAAAGAGAGACAAAATTTTTATACTATTTTAGATTGGTTGGCTTCTCATGCTTTCTCTCTTGGCCTTGGTGTCCATCCTCTTGATTATCCTCCTGCTGATATTTTTTCTTTGATTGTTAATGGTTGTTTTTCTCTGATTGTTGATGTCTTGGATATTTTTTCTTTGATTGTTAATGGTTGTG